GCTCCAGCACCTCCAGCTCCAGCGCCTCCAGCTCCAGCGGCTCCAACTCCAGAGCCCGCAGCACCAGCAGCTCCAGTACCTCCAGCACCAGCAGCACCACCAGCTCCATCAGCTCCAGTACCTCCAGTACAAGCACCTCCGAGACCAGCAGCTCCAGCACCTCCAACAGCAGCACCACCACCAACTCCCGCAGCTACAGTACCTCCAGCACCAGCAGCACCAGCACCTTCGGCACCTCCAGCACCTCCAGCAGCAGCACCACCACCAGCTCCAGCAGCTCCAGTACCTCCAGCACCAGTAGCTCCACCAGCTCCAGCAGCTCCAGTACCTCCAGTACGAGCACCTCCGGGACCAGCACCTCTAGCACCTCCGGCACCTCCAGCACCTCCAGCAGCAGCACCACCACGAGCTCCAGCAGCTCCAGTACCTCCAGTACCAGCAGTACCTCCAGCACCTCCAGGACTAGCAGCTCCAGGGCCTCCAGCTCCAGCAGCGCCACTCTGAAGGCTACAGCGCCGAGCGTACCACTCGCGCAACTCTATGGTGAGAGCGGCTCCCGTAGTGTAGACGCAGGACCCCTAGGCTCAGCACCCCCAGACTCAGCACCCCCAGGCTCCGCACCCTCATGCTCAGCACCCCCAGGCTCCGCACGCTCAAGCTCAGCACCTCCAGGCTCCGCACGCTCAGGCTCCGCAACCGCAGGCTCAGCACCCCCAGACGCAGCACCCCGAGCAGCACCAGAGTCACCAGTGACCTCGACAGGCTCAACCACGGGGAGTGGGTCTACCTGAGACACACATGAAGGAGCAGGACCCTGAGGGGGGAGGGGGTCTACCGGAGGGGGACCTGGAGCGAGGAAGAGCGGCGGGGGGGGGAGAGGGGCATTGCGGTAGGGGAAGAGACGGTAAAAGGGATCCGACTCGTCGAACGTGACGTCCTGAGAGGGTAGGACACAGCGCAAGGTGGGGTGGTAAAACTGCCAGCCAGGGGCGTCAGGAGGAAAGCCAAGGAAGACGCAGGGAACTGCGCGCGAGGAGAGCTTGTCCGCGGAGGTATCACGGACAAAGGCACGACAGCCCCAGACCTGGAACAGCGACGCATCGCCAACCTCTCCCGTCCAACGCAGTGTGGGCGAGGTCTCCGGCAAGGAGACACGGGGCCAGAGGTTGAGCTGATGCGTAGCGTACCGGACGCAAACGGCCACATAAAATGGGGAGCAGCCGCATGGATCATGGAGGTACGAGCCACCTCCATGACTAAGCCTCGTGACGGGCTGCAGCAGAGCGCAACGTGCGGGGCAGCAGAGCGCGACGTGCGGGCTGCCGTAGGGCGCGACGCGCAAGGCAGCAGGGCGCGACGCACGAGCTGCAACAGAGCGCGACGCGCGGGGCAGCAGGGCGCGGGCTGCAGCAGGACGCGGGGCAGGGCAGGGCGTGCGCGGGGCAGCGCGACGCGGGGCAGGGCAGGGCGTGCGCGGGGCAGCGCGACGCGGGGCAGGCCAGGGCGTGTGTGGGGCAGGGCAGGGCGTGAGCTGGGCAGGGCAGGGCGTGCGCTGGGCAGCGCGACGCGGGGCAGCGCGACGCAAGGCAGGGCAGGGCAGGGCTCGCGCTGACGGCGCAGCGCAGGGCAGGGCGTGGGGTAACGTGGTAACCGCAGTCGGTCACTAGGTAATGGTGGACCCGGGAAAAAAAAAAAACGGTCCTACGGACCTACTGCTCTGAAACCATGTCAGAAACTAACGAGCAGGAATGTGTGCATTGATCAGAAATGTGGTACAAGTACTAACCCTAATTGGGTTGTACCCCATATAGGCTACCCCACTACAGCCTACATAACATAAGCAGCATTATAGTTTGACATATGATGCATCGTAGAGCATTAGAGATTTCCTCTGATACCCAGCATCGTTTTTAGGTTTTTTAAATGCTACCAGTATTCTCAAGACTTGCCGGTAGTTACCTTTTTGGTGGATTAGGCATGCATTTTCTTGTTACCTTATAACTCGTAACAGGCTCTATCACTTCTTAGCCTCTTTTGTGTGCTTCTCTAGCTTTCTGTCAACACCTAATTCTTTGCAACTATAGAGAAGCATACAACCACAGTTGGAACTGGTGAACAACACTGACTTCATTCGGTCATGAAGCTGACGACGGTGTGGGTCCTGCATTTCGAACGTTGTTGGACTAGCGAATTCACTGGCAAGGGGCAGTAAACAGTGGTTGGGGTAACGTGAGATGGTTCGCCATCAGTCATTCGACAACATTGTTCCGTCGAGACTTGTCGGTATCTCAGGTGTCCTGCTGGTCGTTTTCTCAACTTCCCCTGAGGACAGTTCGCCCAGAGTCCGATTGCGATGCAGACATTTCGTTACCCTTCAGACGATCAGCCAATATAGCTATAGCAGTGGTAACCTTGTTGATTTGAGAAGGGTCTCGCGCTAACCTTCCCAACTACCAAATCGACGCAAATGACAGTGTCACTGGTAACCCTGTCCTGACATTCTCATGCTCACCTGAGTTTCAGTGCTGTCCAGTCCCAGGGGCCGCCGCGCAGGTGGTTTTCAGCAGGCGAGACCTACGTACAGTGTGGCAACGAGCGATCGTTCTTTCACCTGCCTCGGGGCACCTGCCCCTGTCACGGGATGCGAGACAGAACAACAAAATCCTTTCCGCCATCCATCGATCCCAGATCAAACCACCCCACTCTGTCTCACCATCTCATTGTTTTGCTTGGTACTACAGGTTAGGAAGCGTAGGTGCCTAACTGATTTCATTTATCTTCTACATCGCTTAGTTCTAGACCGTCCTTACCTGCTGGGCGAAGTCAACGAACATGGGTCGGCTCGCCGTTGCGTTAGTCTTGGTTCTTGCTTGCGCTGCTACGGCGCGTGCCATCACATGGAACGACAACAGGTATCAGGCGGACCTCGACAGCGGGAGAGTGACTTACAGCACGTGCGAGGATAACCAGCTGTGCATTAAAAACTGCAGCACTCAGAATCCGACTCGCTATTACATGGGCCAGTACACCCTCCCTTTCTACCGCTGCACCACTGTCACTAAGAACGATAACAAAAATGCCGGTCTTCCGTACTGCTACGCGAATGCGATTCAGGAAGAGCAGTGCTGCAGTGCGTGTACCGACAACAACACGTGCTCGTACTGGCAGCACTTCAAGCCTGCCGCCACCGCATGCAGTGGCTGCGGCATCTGCATTCTGTACCCTCCGGGCTACTCGCCGGGGTGCGTGTCGGAGCCCATCACGCTGACGCTGGCGGACGGCACGGAGTACACGCGCTCCAACGCTAACATCAGCGTCGTCGGCCACCCCTGCGGCGAGGGCCAGAACGACCCCCACTTCCGTGGCGCCCACGGCACGCGCTTCGAGTTCAACGGTCTTCCGGAGCAGTCGTTCTGCCTGCTGACGGACCGCAACCTGCACGTGAACATGAAGATGCGCGGCTACTACGACACGCGCACCACCGGCGCGTCCATCCTCAAGAACGGCAAGGCGGTGCGCACGTGGATCCGCGAGCTCGGCTTCCTGTGGACCGACGCCGCCGGCAAGAAGCACTCGTTCCGCCTTCTGGCGCGCGACGGCAAGAAGACGGCGCGCGGGAAGGGCTTCCTGAAGGAGATCGAGTACGACGGACACGTGCTGCCGCTGCTGAAGCTCGGCGAGAAGTACTCGCTCAAGGGCGGGCTGGCGTTCGCGTTCGAGGCGTACGAGAAGGCGGGCCGCGGCTTCTTCGATGTGGACGCGTACCACCTGGAGATCGAGGGGCTCCTGAAGATGGGCGTCAAACTCCGCGTGGCGCACCCGCTGCTGCAGACCAAGGACGACGCCGAGGCGCATCTGAACGTGCACTTCGAGCACATCTACAGGACCGATGAGATCCACGGCATCATGGGGCAGACCTACCGCGACGGCCGCGAAAAGCGCGCGCTCGACTACAACACGCTCTCACAGGTGATTGGCCGCCCAATCGCTGCCGACGGGCCGAGCGGTGCGGGTTTCCTGGACGGCAACGTGAAGGACTACCGCACGTCGGGCGTGCTGTCGCCTGACTGCCTTTACACCGCGTACGACGGCCACGACCTGCCCACGATCGCGTCGTACAAGGGCATTCAAATGGCTTGACTTGTTTCGAAGCCCTGAGAAGATGCTTCAGGGTGTGTATTATGTTGGATTCGGCTTCAATACTCTTCCTCGCTGCTTGCTTGTATTCAATCAACTTGGGGCATTTGATATGTTATTTCATCGAATTTTATTTCATGCAAATAATGCTGTTTATTCTTGATTCTTAATTCACCAATGTTTTTTTCGTCTGGATGAACGGATAATGGACACACTCAGCTGGAGTAAAAATAAATGATTTGTACTAAACATCTACCTGGCAACGACGCAGGTATTACAAAGCAAATTACGAGAGATACTCTACCAAACAAATATGACAATTTTTAAAATCTGTAACGCTTTTCAAAATTTTATATTCTGAAAGCGAAGCGGCTTGTAATGTAGCAATGATCATCGGCGAACTGCGCTAAACGCCCGTTTTGGAGTACAAAACGTGGGCTGGAGGTCATTTCCCTCCACCCATGTCTTTCATTTTCAAACGGCTTAGCCTAGTTTCCCGCCCACCCACCCCGTAGAACTGGGACCAATCATGGATAGTTGATTGTTTTTAGAATAATTGCATGCTAGCTTGGACATGTCTGTACTATGCCATTTGAAATGAGACGATGCCATGCCTACAACAAGAAAGCAAGCTTTCTGAAATGCAGGTATATTGTGTTTTGATGTCTACATCTACGGGTGCAATCAACAACTCTCCCCCCATTGTTGAAGCTTGGGCGTTCTTATGACACTCAGCTTCCGTGCATCCCTCACAAACTCACTGCAAGCGACACACGGGAGAAGATGAAAGGCAGCAAGGTGGACAATAGTGAGCACGGCATCATGCCAGTGGCACAGTGCATGCAACACTCATGGCGTGGAGCTCACAGGGCTGAGACAGGAGGCAGGACACGAGCAAAAGACAGAGATGCAGCAAGTAAAGGAGCACCAGAGGGAAGAAGAGGGAGTGAGAGGAAGAACGAGAGGGAGAGAACGAGAGGAAGAGAGGGAAAGGGAGGGATGAGATGCAGTGAGAGAGCGGGAGGAAGGCGGTGAAGAGGGGTTGCTGACCTCCAGGGCCCGTCCCCGACGAGAAGCGTGTCGCCGTCGGCATCGGTGTAGGTGAGCTGCCAGGGACACGTGGCACCCTCTGACGGCTGCCCAGGCTGCTGCAGAGGCAGCTGCAGCATGGCTGCACACGTGGCGTACAGCGATTGGAAGCTGCCGATGCCACTCAGACCCACCGTGCGCATCACTGGGCTTCCCTCCACCTGCAGCTGAGAGGAGCACAGGCAAGCAAGACAACGAACGGGTGGGTTCGAGAGGCTGGCATATGTGCACGCATCCACTCAACCATCAACCATGCGTTGTACAGCGATGAATGCAGACATGCATCAAGGAACCACTCACTTTGACGCGCCGAGACTGCCCGGCAGCAGTGGAGGCAGCATGGCAGCTTGGCTGCAATGCCTCACACGCCGGACTGGCAGCAGCAGCAGCAGCAGCAGCAGGGGGAAGAGCAGAGGGAGCAGGGCGAGGTGCAAGGCCCTCAGTGCAGCGCGGCGCCAAGTCTTCATCACAGCCGCCCATCGCCATTCCCCTCGTGGCCTCTGCACCCTGCCTTGGCGTCGCAGGCACCTCCTCCCGCTCCCGCACTGCGCTCCCTGCTGCTCCCCACTCGCCCGCTCCCCTCCTTGCTCTAGGCTGCTCTGCCACCTGTTGTGCCACGCTATGCCTGTCGTGTTGCCCTGCCGTCCCACCGAACCCCAACTGCGGCTGCTCTGGTGAATGAGATTGACGTGGCGAGCGTGGGGCAAGAGGGGCAGAGAGAGTGAGGGAGAGTGCGAGGGGGTCGCACCAACCTGAGGCACCTGAGGCACCTGAAGCGTGGAGTGTTGAGGAATGGGAGATGGAGAGAGGGCGACCAGGGGGTGATGGGGAGAGCGAGAGGGCGAGACCCGAAGGCACTGCTGCTGGAGTTGCAGCAGGTGGGGTTGCTGGAGCCATCGCTGCTGCTGCTGCTGCTGCTGCTGCTGCTGCAGGAGCGGTGTGGTGCCCCCCCTGCTTGAGCACGAGCAGGGATGCCGCCGCTACTTCAAACGATGAATGGCCCTGCCCACCCGCCATGCCCTCCTCTGCTCCTTGCTCTGCCCCCTCTCCCTCCTTTCCCTTACCTCCCTCCTCCCCGTCCCTTCCCTTTTCGTCCTCTCTTTCCTCTGCCTCCACCATTTCCTCCTCCTCGCCTCCCTTCCCACACTCCGCATCACGCATTTCTTGCTCCTCACACTCCTCCTCGCCCTCCTCCACGCGCCCCTCCACGTCACCACTCTGCCAGCTGGCACAAGGGACGGCACTCCTTGCCTTCTTCCCTGGCCGCTGCTCTGCTGAGTCAGCTGCCACGTGGCAGGCAGTGAGTGGAAGCAGCGAGGCGAGAGACAGCCTGGCAGGCCGAGGGGCGCTGGGGGGAGGCGCCGCGTGGGAGAGGACGGTGGGAAGGGGGCGGAGGTGGGGTTGGGAAGGGGTATGGGGCGGCTGCGTGGAGTGGGGCGGAGGGGAGGAGTGGGGGGGAGGGACGGAGTGGGGGGGAGGGGAGGAGTGGGGGGGAGGGACGGCGTGGGGAGGAGGGGAGGGCGCAGGCGGGTCGAGGTCGCACTGGAAACGCACTCGCTTGCGCACCGCGCTGCCAGGTGGCAGTACGCTATTGGCTGCTGGGAGCAACCCGCACGCCCCACTACCTGCCGCCCCGCTGCTGCTGGCCTGTTGTGGTGCGGCGGGCGGCAGGCGTGTGGCGGGGCGAGGGGTTGGTGGGCGTCCGCCCTCACTGCGGCTGCTGCTCATGTCCGAGTGCGAGTGCGAGAAAGAGTGGGACTGTGAGTGTGAGGGTGTGGGGGGGAGTGAGAGGGAGCGAGGGCGGGAGTGGGAGAGGTGCAGCAGAGCAGCCACATTGGGGGAGATGGACCGGGCGACCGGGCAGGTAACAACCACCCGCTGCTGCTGCTGCTGCTGCTGCTGCTGCCTTTGAGACGGTGGCGGTGGGGTGACAGACGCACATTCCCCTGATGCCGCAGCTGCTCCTGCTGCCAGCTCTGCTGATGTGGTGGCCAGTCCCGGAGCAGGTGCCGACACTGGTCGCTCACCCACACCCCCTCGCTGCCGCCCTCCACATTCCAAATCCTCCGCCTCCCATCCTTCCTCACGCCCCTCCCGCCCTCCCACCCCGCCATCCCCGCCCGTCTCTCTTCTTGCCTCGCGCCCACTCTCCTCGCCCCTGCCCGCCCCCCTGGCAGGAAGGCGCAGGGGGAGGGGGAGAGGGTGGTCGGGGGGCGTCTGCCTCACCAGCGCGCGCCACTGGCGCCACTCCGCCAGGCTGATGCGCCTCCCCCCGGCGGGGGACGGGCAGGGGGACGCGGAGGGGGGCAGGCGCAGAGGCGTTGGGGCGTTGGGCGCGGAGGGGAGGTGCGGGGCGGACGAGGCGCTTCTGGGCGTGGTGGGGGAGGGGGGAGGCGGCATGAGCGCGGACGGGGAGGTGTGGAGCGGGGGAGAGGCGGAGAGAGGTGGTAACGCGGAATCCCTGAAGCTGGAGCGGGCGGGTCGGGGGTCACGAGGGGAGGAGGGCGGGCGGGGGGAGACAAGGAGGTGGGGGGGAGGGGGGAGGAGGAGGAGGAGGGGAAAGAGGAGGAGGAAGGGAAAGGGGCGGAGGCGGTGAGGGAGGAGGAGGTGGAGAGGGAGAGGGACATGGGCGCGGAGAGCGAGGAGGAGCAGGGGGAGGCGCGGGGGGCGGAGGGGAGGGAGTCATCAAGGTGCCAGGGGGAGACGAGGGGGGGGCGGGGCAGGGAGGGGTCGCAGTCGAACCAGCGCACGCGCACACTGCGCCACTGCGACGTCGGCCACACGCCGCTGGCCGGGCGGTGCACGTCTGTCACGGTGCCGCGCAGGCGGTGCGTGGACAGCTCGTCGGTTTCAAACGCCATGCGCACCTCGCTGGCTGCTGTGAGGCGCTGCTTTAGCCGCAGCGCTGCACAGAAGGCGCCGAGGGGCAGCACAAAGGGCGCTGGCGTTGATGCCACGCTGGGGGATGGGGCATGGGCGGAGCACAAGGGAGGCGCAGAGAAGGGCGGTGAGAGGGGGTCGTGATGCGTGGAGGGGAGAGAGAGTGGTGGTGTTAGGAGGGAGTGGCATGGGCTGGGGGGAACGAGCGCAATGGGGACGTGGCGAGGAGGTTGAGGGGAGTAGGGACCGGAAAGAGGAACGGGAGCAAGGGGAGGGGAGCAGGGGGGGATGTGGGAGGTGGGAGGAGGGAGGAGGGAAGAGGGAGGAGGGAGGAGGGAGGGGGGGATACCAGGGGTGGTAGACGACGGAGAAGGCCCTCTTGACGCCGTGGCAGTGCGCCGCCCACTCCAACACCTCACTCGCCGTCACCGTCGTCGCCGCAGCACCACCACCACCTCTGCTGCCTGCTGCTGCTCCTGTGGTGTGTGCACCCGAGTTGCTCGGCCCCTCCTTGGCTGCGCCCGCACTGCTTGCAGAGTCTGTTGCCCCGTGCCCTCTCTCCCGCTCCCTCTGCCGCCTGTGCTGCGCTGCCAGCACGGCCTCGCTGCGCCTCGCGCCCACCTTGAGTGCCCCGTTGCCCGCCCTGCCCGCACCGCGATGGGGGGAGGAGGGGGAGAGAGGGGGGAGATCGAGCGGAGCAGAGTGAGGCATGGCGTGGTGGAGAGAGGCGCGTGGCGGCTATAGAAATTGAGGGAGGGAACGAAGCTGGGTGGGGAAGCATGTGCCGTGAGGTGCGAACGGCAAGCACGGAACCCACTTGAGGAAGACGATGCTGCCCCCACCCCACCTGAGAAAACACCTGAGCTCACCTGAGGAAGACGATGCGGTCGGACGCTGCGAGCCCCCAGGAGGCGCAGAGGGCGCTCCACCCCGCCGTGAGCAGATGGCGGCGCGGCGACCCGCGGTACACGTGGCGGAAGTTCCACTCGCGGCCGAACACGTCTGACGCCACCAGCTGCTGACATGGCCCCTCCTCATTGGCGTCCTGCCGTGGCACACGCCATGCCATGCCATGCCATGCCATGCCATGCCATGACATCATGCAGGAAGAAACGCGGATGAGAAGACGAAGGTGGACCGACGTGGCACCAAGTGGCATGGCGCGGAGCTAGAGGTGCGCAGCAATGGGTGAGGGGGTCGACGAGCACCATATTGCGCAGGGGGGAAGTCGGATGGTGGGGGGAAGGGTGTCGGAGGGGGGTGGGGGGCGTACGAGGGCGGGGAAGAGGGACTCAGCAGCCTTGCGCGGGATGAAGAAGCCACCGTGGGGCGCGGCGTCGCTGGTGGAGAGGCGCTTGCAGCACATGTGCAGCCGCGCATGCGCGCCCATGTGCGTGTGCACCCCCGCCTGCACCGCCTGCGCCTGCAGCCCTCCTGGCCGTGCTGCCTGCGCGTGTCCGCCGTCTGTGTCCATGCTGCCCTCCTCGCTCTGCTCCTCTTGCGCGTCCGCCTTCTCCCCCTCGCGCCCCCGTCTCCTCCCCGCTGCGCCTGCCCTGCGCGCCTCCTGGCTGGCGGCTGCCTGCGCCTTCACTGCTTCCGCCTGCTCATTCACGGGCGGAAGAACGGGGGCGCGGACACATTACTGGGGGGTTACTGGCGGAGGAGGGGGAAGGGCGGCTGACAGCGCGGAGGAAAGGGATGACGCACGGGTGAGAGGGGGGGGAGAAGGGAGTGAGGGCAGCGCGGGCAAAGTACGAACGAATTCAGAAGGGAAGCAGGCGCAGGGCGAGGAGAGGCAAGCAGCCACACCCCTACGCTCATACGCTCATGGATTCAACGGGCCGAGCCGCGAACGGCGCCTCACCTCGTCTACGGGCTGCAGCTCGAAGCGCACCATGAGCTCGTGCGTGCGCTCGTCCGCCTGCGCGCGGGACAGAGGTACGGGCAGCGGACCAGGGGGTGCGGAAAGGAGTGGGTTAATCCGAAGGGTGATAGGGGGTGGAAGCAGGTGCGCATGCATTGTGGCTTCTGCTGGTGCCATCCCGCTGGGAGGGCGAAATCGCAGGAAGACATTGCGGCGGGAAAGCCATTGACCGTGGACGCGCGCGCCGAGAGCGCTCCGTCATATCGCGGCGGAGTCTACGGCGGAGTCGCGTCGCGCGTTCAGTGCGGTACCTGAAGCGCGACGGCCGTCAGGCGGCAGAAGATGTGGCTCGGCGGCAGCTGCTGTCTCTTCGCCTGCGCGCCCTCCGTTGCGCCAAGACTGCCGCTGCTTTGCGCGCATTGGCCGGCGGAAGGGGGGGAAGCGGACGCACGGCCTCTGGGGAGAGTGCAGCCGCTCGAGTCTGATTGGCTGGGCGATTGGCTCAACCCGCTGTTGCCATGCGACGGGCATGGCGAGTCGTCGCCGCTGTTGCGCGACTGCGACTGCGATTCTGACGTGGAGATGGCGATCGGCGATGACAGCCCCGACGGCGGCGAGGGCGGCGGCGACTCCGATTCGGTCGGCGGCGGTGGGTCGCGCTGCGGGGAAGGGGGTAGTTGAGGGGAAGGGGGAAGGAGCAACGTGAACTAAGACGGGGAAAGCAAATAGAGTGTGGAGGGGACGGGGTGAAACTCCGCAGAGGAGGCGGAGCGGCGGACGCCGGCCGTGAAACGCGGGGGATGTGAAGCACAGACGCCGGCCCAACACGTGGACCATCGAAAAGTCTGAGATTCGCCGCGTGCAATGTTTGGCACAGGGCTGGGCGAGTCATGACGACCCAACACGCTGCAATGGCGGCACGGGCTCTACCTGCGCGAGGCGCTGCTGTTGCTCCACGTGGCCCTGCGGGAAATACACCACCAGCGACCCCACGGCCGGCACCGTCACCAGCGGCCCCGCGCACGCGTACCACAGCGCCGCGTCCTCCACCACGCGCACGTGCCGGCTCGCCGCGCCGCCCATCGCGTCCAGGCGGGGCAGCGGCGGCGCGGCGGCGTTCGCGGAACGTGAGACGCCTTCAGCGCCGCTCGCGGTAACGGCGGCTTGCGGGGATCGAGAGCCTTGGCTCCCACACGGAATCCGCCCTCCCTTGCACTCTCGCCCCCGCGCGCCCGGCCCGTCTCCGTTGCCCGTGGCCGCGCGCTGCCCTCCCGCGTTCCGCGGAAGGTTTCCCGAGCCCCCAATGTCTGTTGTCTCGTTCGTCGAGTCGTCGTCGCTCGACGAGTAGCTTGGATCATTTCGCCAGCTGTCGCCGCCGCGCGTCGTGCGCTGCTCGCACTCCATGTTGTTATCCTAGTGCGACGTCCGGATTGGCTGCCCCCCGCGAATGTCTCAATGACTAGGGAGAAGCTATTGGAGCATATGAATTCGCATGGAAATAACGCGCCCCACTTCCGCACCCTTACCGCCGTGTTTTCTATTGCTATCTGTCCGACTCGTTTCACACTCTCCGTTAGAATGGCTGGCAGTTTATCAGATCCCGGCGAGGAGCCAAATAAATTGCGTTCGCTCACACGGAAAATGTGCGGGGCCATGCATTCAATGGAACGCGATACCTCCATGGGGCCTTGCTTGCATCAGATAAAAAAACGATTGACTCGTTGGCGCTGCCGCCTTGCATTATGGGATACCCATGTGTTGGCTTGGCATTGGCATCAGCAAGCATGTGTGCTTTTGCCGCATCCCTGGCGTAGTGCGATCAAGTTGGCGATGAACCATTGCGCCGTACCGTGCGCTGCGACAAGCTTCCCGTCGCACGTGCCTGCTTTTGGCAAAAAAGGCGCACAGTGCATCACTGTACCCGACACTCGTTAGGCCGAGTCGAGCATCACTGTGCTCGACTCGCCTCGCCTCGCCTCGCTTCTGATATGTGAGAGAGAATCCCCGATCGCCAATCCCGCCGTCTGATTCGCGGAGGGAGAGGGAACGCGTTCCAGCAATCGGGTCGGGAAGTGAGGGGGGCATGGAGGGGGACATCGATGCTCCAGCTGTGGAGATGTACGGAAACACAAAACTCAGACGTGCTTGGAATTGTACACGAAAACCCAAAAATCTTCTGAAGATAACTAGAGATGATACAAATTGATCAGAATAGTTCTAGTAATGGGCAAGTTTTCAGTATTTGCACGGTCGTGCAGGAAGCGTTCCGGATTTAGGAAAAACCACCCTTGGGCTGAGATGAGACATCAATGGGGACAGCGCTAGCCATGGAGATATGAGATATGGGCCAATTGGAGTCGCTGTTGCAACACAGTGTAGCCCTGAATTCCCCCCTCCGCCCCTGCCCACCCCCGACACACGTCAGCACTTTCGCCAAAAACCCTCAACATTCGGTTACGGCCCACACCAGCAAACACTGCGGAATACGGCAGGAGAACGTTTTCGTTCGCAAGAATCCAGTACCACTGCGGCGGCCATCCCCATTGGTGCGTGAATTATTCTCCCATATAATTCTCCAAAAGTGGGTATGCTTCGGGGTTTACCCTGCTACAACAAGTCTCCAGAAATTCGACCTGCCAATAATGCTTGCTGGAAGCGAGTTTCGTGTTGGCATAAACTTCCGCATTCTCTATACCGTATGTTTCCCTATGTTAGCTGAAATCAACTAAATTCCAACCGGTATCAAGCAAATCTTGTCTCATGGTGGGTCATCCACCACGTTCCTCTTGCGGCGCACATCCAATCCACCAAGAATCTGAAGGAGGGCATTCCGTACTTCGTGCATTTTAGGGTTTTGGGAATTCCATATCCCATTTCCGTCTGCTTTCGTGCTCCTCACTTTCCTCCTAACTTTTCACCTCCTCTACCCACCCCTCCCCTTCATCCATCCCCTTCCCCTCTAGTCCCCTTTCCCTCACACCCATGCACCTCCTGAATACCTTGTACGGTAAGAGAAAAGTGATTAAAAAAGGGCTACACCTCACACGATTTGTATGCAAGTGAAATGGGTACCTACACCTCGCGCAACTTGTTAACAAACTGTGAGGCACATTATGCACGCATGAATTGAGTTACCACCTGCTCGCCCATCACCAGCCCACCCATGACTCCCCCCATCAACATGCCCCATGCCCATGCGGCCATGCCTTGCAAATCGGTGCACTAGCGAGCAGCAGCATGCCTTGCCACCCGTGCACTAGCGAGCGTGCCTTGCGGTGCTGCGGGCAGTGGTGGTGGCAGCAGTGGCAGAGGCAGTGGTGGTGGAGGTGGGGGACGCAGCAGCAGCAGCCACAGCCTCGTCGAGTTGCTGCTGCTGCCGCGCCCTCACTCCCTCCACCTGCTGCTGCCGCCCCCCGCCCCCTGCCCGCCTGACGAGCCCCACAAACAGCCTCCTGCGCCGGTTGCGTGCCGCCACCCACCTGCCAGGCAACGAGGGAATGGGGCGGGGAGAGGACGGGAGGGGCGAGGGGGTGCGAGGAGGGAAGAAAGGAGGGCTGTGAGGGAAGGTGCTGCTGGGAGGGTGGCGAAAATTTGAGGCCAGCAGTGAGTGCGGGGAGCGACGAGGGAGATCTGAGGCACACCGGTGCAAAGGCAAGCATGATTATGCGAGGGAAAATGAGAAGGGGGGAGGAGGGAGGGCGGAGTGGCAGAGAGGCCGACTGACCGCATGTAGGCAAGGCCAGCAGTGAGCACGAGCCCACACACCATCCACACCACGTTGCCCCCAAACGGTCTCCCCCCCTCGCCACCCGCCCACTGCTCCCACCACCCTCCACCCTCCTCCTCCGCCTCCTCCTCCTCACCACTCCCCTTCTCCCCCTTCCCCCCTGCCCCCTTGTGCCTTCCCCTCACAACAGCGGCAGCAGAAAGGAGAGTGCCGTCAAAGCACACCCTCTCCTCCCCCTCCTCGTCTTCTCTCCCCCCCATCTCCTCCCCGCGCCCCCCTCTCCTGTCCACCCCCGCTCCGTGCGAGTCGGGCAGCCAATCAAAGCCCGCCAGCTGGCAGAACTGGCGGCCGGAGGAGGCAAGGGAGTCGGCCCGCGCACACAGCGTGTCGCGGCGGCCACAGGGGAAGATGTGCTGCCGGGGGGGAGGGCGGGGGAGCGGGGAGGGAGAAGGAAGGTGATGATGGGTTGGGGGGAAGTGGGTGATGGGGAGTGCAGGGATGGTTTGAGGATGAGGAATGTTGAAGGGGTGGAGAGCAGGGGAGGATGGGGGGAGGAGAGCCCGAGACCGACGAAGAGCAAAAAAGAGTGATGGGATGCAGACGCCAGGTCAACCTGGAAATTCACCTGGAGCACCTGATACGACCTACCTGCGAGGTGCCATCTGCTGCGAAAAAAGCCGCCCCGCACGCAGAAAAGACAGCGTCGCAGAACGAGTTGCAAATGGCGGGCGGCCCATGCTGTGTGCCAATGAGGGGGTGACACGTGGCACACTGCAGCGCCTCCCACTTGGAAATGCAGTCGTCCGTTGGCTCCCCCCCCACCACCAGGCGCCTGGGGGATGGGCGAGGGGGGTAGAGCAAGGGGGGGGGAGGGCAAAGTGGGGGGAAGGAAAGGAGAGTTGTAGGGAGGGCATAGTGGGGAGAGGACAAGGTGAGGCGGAGGGCAGCAACAGAGGTAAACGCAGGGCAGGGAGCAGAGGGGGACGGGGTGGTGGGGGCAGATGCAATAGGGAAGGAGGGGCACGTTGGGGGGGAAAGGGACATGATAACGGGTGGAGAGGAAAGGAGGCAACAAGGAATGGGCACACTGCACAGCACAGCCCCTGACCTCTCCCCACCACTGGCCCTCGGTCCAATCTGCTTCTGCTGGCCGCTCAAGCTAGGGGATACCAGAGTACGCCACTACCCACGTGGCCTCGCCCCTCTGCCTCATCCCCCACTCCCGCCTCTCCTTCTTCCCTCCTCCCTCCCCCTTCCTTTCTCGCCTCTCACCGGGTGGAGATGAGGGCGTGGTCGCTGTTCTCGCGTCCGCAGCACGTGCGATCCTTGTACACGCGGCACAGTGTCAGCTCCTGCGCGCCGCCCTTCGGGCTCTTTCGCGGAAGCTTCCCGTGCAGCCAGAAGGGCGGCCACTGTCCCCCTTGTGATATACACCGCCCGGGGGGAACTGCGAGGTGGGAGACGAAGGACATGGGGGTTGCCGTGGGACAAGCGGGTGGAAAGGGGGGGGTATGGGGGAGGGTTAAAGGGGACGGAGTAGCAAAGGCAAGATGGGGGAGCAATGGTGGAAGAGGTGGGGCCGGGGAGGATTGGGTGAGGGAGGGTGCGGGAGTGGAGGGCGAGTTGGAGAGAGATGGCGGCGGAGGGGAAGCACAGCTTTCATGGGGGGGTCGTAAGGTGCTAGCGTCGAGGGGAAAGGAGGGTGGTCGGTGGGTGAGGGAGGTAGGGTGGTGTGGTGCATGAGAGGTAGATGAGACAGAGGGCGACGGATAGGAGTAGTAACGAGAGGTTGGTGCGACTGGGCGCACTCTCCGATAATTGCGCGTCCACCGTCGCACGGGATAGAGCACTTTGGCAAGGAGGACTATGGCAAGGGGAGAGGGAAAAGGCGGCGAGAAGAGACAGGGTGACGATCGCGCGGCTGAGATGGAGAGACGAGACCTGCAGGACGAACCTGACGAATTCGATTTACGAGACTCGCTGGAGACGCGGCGCGTCTTTTCCGCGGATTCAGCGGCAAGGGACAGTGACGGCAGCAACGACACGGCGATAACAATCACCGCGCACGCACGCGCACATCGCGACGACGACCGGCGATCCGCTTTCGGAACTCTCACAGCGCAATTCCGCGGCCGGCGCGCTGCCGGTCGGCACGGAGGCTTGGGCATTGCGAGGGCGCCAGCTGGCAGTGACGTGTTGGTCAGGTGAATGTGGAACGGGATGGCGCGACCAATTGCGATTGGCGATGGATTTTAGAAGGCCGCCGATCTCTGTTGGGAGTTGTGCGAATTTCATCCGCGCTATACAAGACGGCCAAAGCCGCAAAAAACCACACCCAGAAAACTGAGTAAAGCAACATCCCGTCTTACATATGCAATTCAGTCTAAATTCGTCTACGCTTCTTTTTAGTCGGCTGCACCGCAACAGCACGCTCACTTGCACTATCGCTTGGCGCACATTGCGATTGGGTCTGAAGAACCACCGCAGGGGGCTGCATCACAGCCGGTACTGCCCCGACATCACAAGCACCCTCACCTACACCCTCCATTTCTCCTCCCCGTGCCGTGCATAGACCATCTTTTTCATTGCAACGCTCATGCGCCTCCCTGGTGTGAGCATGTCCCGTGTCTTGTAGACCATGCTCGTGTGCATTCCCAATTCCGTGCTCCGATGTCCCACACTCCCTCACAGGACTGTCCGTCTGCAGTGGGCGGCGCACAAGTGAGGGGGGGTATAACGGCTTGGGATACGATGGGGAGAGGACGTAGCAGTGTGAAAGTGGCATGATGGACGTATACAGTTGCGAGCGACAGAGCAAATGCTTACAAGGTGCAAATGAATCAAAGTGTGGAGGGGGATGGGGTAAAGGGAGAGGGGAGGAAGAGGAGGAGGGAAAGATGAGGGGGCGATCAGGTGAAGGGCAGGGCATAAGGTGGTGCACGTGCAAAGCAGGTGAGAGCTAATGGGCGGTGTACAATAGGCGGGGTGCTGTGGGGATGCGGTGGGGCGTGCAGTGCAGCGAGGTGCGATCGCACACGAGCCACAGCAGCATCCATGGAGGGCACTCCGAAGTAGTGTGGGGATTGGGGGACGCTGCTGTTGCTGCCACACTGCTGCGTGGTGGCGCTGGTGAGAGGGGTGCTGCAGGCGTGCCTGCTGCTCGGTAGAGTGACCATGTCGCTGCCGGTGTCTGTGTTGACTGCTCTGCTGCTGCCAGCTGCTGCCACGTGTTGTTCATGCCCCTTGGCGGGCTGCTGATGCGGCCGGGTGGGCTGCAAGCGTGGGGGTGGAGGGAGTGCTGTGACGCCGGAGACGGGCAGAGGTGGTGCCTGAGGGTGGGTGGGTGGGGAGGAGAAGAACCGAGGTACACGGTCAAGATTGCAACATGCCTTGCACTGCATGCCTTGCACTGCATGCCTTGCACTGCATCAAGAGTCCACACGTTTTAGGCTGCATACGTGGGGTGTAGAGTGTAGTGTAGGTGTAAGCTTAGAGAGTGGGGTTAAGGTGAAGCAAGGAGCAGCGAGTGTGAAAGCAGTGGGGCACACCTGGGGACGCGGCGGTGGAAGGGGTGCCAGTGGCGGGATGCTGCCTGCTCGTGCTGCTACTGCTGCTACCACTGGTGTTGCTGCTCTTGATGCTGAGACTGCTCCCGCTGAAGCTGCTGCTGTTGGTGTTGTTGGTGCTGCTGCTGCTGCTGCTGCCGCATGTGCCACTTCACCCGTCCCTGCGGGCGCCTCTCTCTGCCTTGCCCTGTTGCCATCTTGCCCTCCACCCGTCTGCGAACCCGCCTGCTCCTCCGCAAGCCCTGCCAGGGGTAGCCAGCAGTGAGGCAGCATGGCAGAAGGGTTTCAAGCATCAATGCATGGTTTGCTGCCGAAATCACGTTGTCCCATCTCACGCCACCTTTTTCTCTCCATTTCGACTCCTCTATGCCTACTTCTGTTTCCCTCTCCAAGCCCTTGTCCCTTTTCCCCCCTTCTCCACCTCCTCCCCTCCCACCCAACCAAACCCCTCTCCTCCATTTCGTAACTCCTCTTAACCCCCCCACTCCCCCACCCCCTTCCCTATTCACCCCCCATCTCTCACGTCGGCAACGGACGGCCACGATTCGCCGCCGCTCCTCCAGCTTCGCCCACGTGTCCTCCATCGCCTCGTGCCCGGGCAGGTACGAAACTTTCAATGCGCTGCCCATGAATGGATACTCGTCCAGCTTTCTCTTTGCGAACCTGGGCAGAGCGAAGGAACAGACCGCATGGAGCGAGATGCGAAGATAGGAGGAAGGGCATGTGGAAGAGGCATAGTGGTAGACAAATCAGGCAAGGCGAGCACAAAGCACTGAGCACAAAGCACTGAGCACAAAGCACTGAGCACAAAGCACTGAGCACAAAGCACTGAGCACAAAGCACTGAGCACAAAGCACTGAGCACAAAGCACTGAGCACAAAGCACTGAGCACAAAGCACTGAGCACAAAGCACTGAGCATATATATAGATTGCCATGCGTTGCAACTTGCGTTTGAAAACACATGGCTTCTGTGAATTCAATCCCAATCATGCCTCACCTGCCATGGTGCATCCAATGCACGCATCACCTGGCATGCATCACCTGGCATGCATCACCTGGCATGCATCACCTGGCATGCATCACCTGGCATGGTGCAGGTGGGTGAATTTGAGCCACACGACGTCGGTGAAGGCAGGGGCGTCCTCCTCATCCATCATGCGATGCCTGCCACGTCATGCCATGCCATGCCATGCCATGCCATGTGATGTGGTGCCACGTTATGTCATGTGGTGGCATGGTGGTGTGATCGCATAGCGGTATGGTGGCATGGTGGGATGATGGAATAGCGGAATGATTGCAGGAAACACATGAAACAGCTGCAAAGACATGAAGGAGTGCATGCATGTTTCATTCACACGGCAACAGCATGTGATGATGCCACGTACAGCAGGCAGCGCTCGCTCACACTCCCCCCCTACTCACTCCCCCCCCACTCACTCCCCCCCTACTCACTCCCTCCCCACTCACTCCCTCCCCACTCACTCCCCCCCCACTCACTCCCCCGCCACTCACTCCCCCGCCACTCACTCCCTCCCCACTCACTCCCCCCCCACTCACTCCCCCCCCACTCACTCCCCCCCCCACTCACTCCCCCCCACTCACTCCCCTCCCACTCACTCCCCTCCCACTCACTCCCCTCCCACTCACTCCCTCCCCACTCACTTCCCCCCCACTCACTCCCCCCCCCACTCACTCCCCTCCCACTCACTCCCCTCCCATTCACTCCCCTCCCACTCACTCCCCTCCCTCCCACTCACTCCGCCCCCACTCACTCCCCTCCCTCCCACTCGCTCCCCTCCCACTCACTCCCCTCCCACTCACTCCCCTCCCTCCCACTTGCTTCCCTCCCACTCGCTCCCCTCCCACTCACTCCCCTCCCACTCACTCCCCTCCCACTCACTTCCTCCCCACTCACTCCCCTCCCCCCCACTCACTCCTGCACAACTCACTCCTCGATGGGCCCATGTGCGGAGAAGAGCCGCAGCAGGTCGCCCACACACCCCAGCGCCGGCACGTTGCGCACCATCAGGTACCTGCAGCGAACCGTGCGGTAGAGAGCGGTGCGATAGAGAGCGGTGCGATAGAGAGCGGTGCAATAGCGAGGCATGTCATGGAGTAAAGCACAGCCACAAGCAGTGGGCAATCAGGTATGGTTACTGCCAGAGATGCACATGACTGTGTAAAGAAACACCCGTCTCACTTCATCCCATCCCATCCCATCCCATCCCATCCCATCCCATCCCATCCCACACCACACCACACTACCGCAGCGCACCTAGACTCATCATTCACAGTGTAAACGCGCACAGCCCTCTCTCGCCTCCCCGCCCGATACTCCGCGCGCGTGTGGCACACTTTGTCGTCTTCCTCCTCCTCGCCGTCCCACATGGCTTCGGCAGCGGCGGAAGAAGCGGCAGTTACGGCGCAGGGCAGCTTTCGGCGCTTCTCCAGAGAGGAGAGCAGGACAGCGAGGGAGTAGGAGAAACAGCGCAGAAGGTCCTGCGTCCGCGACCTGCCGTAGGGATCTCCGAGCCGTGACGGCGCTTCTGAGTCCACTGAAAAGGCGGAAACTCGCGGTGACGGTGGTGACGTGGCGCGACAACGAATCCACGTCAGCACTCAACGATCGCTTCCTTGAACATGCGGCATCACTGAGGTGATATGGACTCTCACCTGGCTTGACCCGAAGCTCCCGTGTTTTCCCGTGATCGTCATCTCCCGCAACCCTTGCATCAGCCCAGCCTACGCATCCCAGTTGGATTCGCGATAGCGGATTAGACGCGACTTTTTCGGAATCCCATCCGCGCTCGTGCGTGCCATGGCAGCATTATCAGTCTCTGGGGAAAGTGGTTTGTCTCGCGTGCCAATCAGAGGAGGAAAATCAGAGCAGGTCGAAAGTAGAACCGCTGTTGCTATGACGGGAAAACGCACGACGCAGTGTAGCTTCACTATACATTTGCACTTGGTGCTAAAACGGGTTGGGGTATGCGATCACTTTGCGCGGGCGAAAGAAAACGAGGGCGGGTTACATTTGCGAACTTCGCACACCTGCGCATTTGTCTTCATCACTCACTCACACTCCACGCCACGACAAGCCCAAGGCCGGCAAGCCAGCGAGGAGTTTCTCCTTAGGTGCCAGGCCACTGAGGCTCACGTCTGGCGAGTTGCCGACGCTGGTGAATTCGGTGCAAATCCGGACACATAGGGAGCCTCGGGTCGGGTAAGGGCTAGTACCCGTGGCTGAAGGAGCTCCTCCCCAAGCGTTCACTTGCGAGAGGCCGTTTGCACTCGAGAAGGCGGAATCCGCGTCAAGCCGCGGAACCTCTCATCTCGACTCCGCTCGTGGTACATCCCTCCGCGCGTTGTCGCGCCAACTCGCTCTGCGCTTGCGACTGCGCCGCCATGCGGATTCTAGTGACAGGAGCCACGGGCTTCCTAGGCACGGCGCTCGTAACGCGGCTCGTTGAAGTGGGACACAATGTGAGGCTCCGTTATTGGCTGATTCGCTATAACACCCATGTCATGCTGGACGTATGCGTGTATACGATGAGTGCAACGAGTAGGCGATTAAGTTACGGTGTTTGGAGTCTCGTGTGAGCAGCAGCGTGCCATATCACGAGTCATCCCCTCCCGAACCACGAGCGCAGGTTCGGGTGCTGGTTCGGCGCAGCAGCGACGTGTCGGACCTGCCACTGGCGGTGGAGCGCGCGTACGGCGACGTGACAGATGGCGCGTCCGTATTGGCTGCGGCGGAGGACTGCGAGGCGGCGTTCCACCTGGCGGCGCTCGTGCAGGCGTGGTGGCCCGACGAGCGCGCGTTCGAGCGGGTGAGCCGTTCGAGCGGGTGAGCGGATAAGACGGGCCGGTAAGAATGGCGGGGAAGTCGTGGCAGCGGGACGGGCAGAAAGGGCTTGTTTGGTGGGAAGTGAGCGACTTGTTAAGCGCCGTAACTGGTGTGGTGAGGTAGGGGAGCTAGCGAAAGAAACTGGAGGGGAGCGATGGTGGCGTGGTGAGGGAGGGCTGATGGAGAACGGTCCAGGGTCAAGCGAGTTGGACCAAGGCGGGGATGAGCGAGGCGGATTGCGAGGAAGGTTGGATATTGGCGGCGGGAGCAGGGCGTTGGTTGTTGCTGCGCACACCGCATGGCAGGCAGCTGCAGGCGAGGTGACTGCATGCATGTGGGGTGGCGCGGGTGGGCACACGTGGGGGGCAAGGGGTCAGGGCGGGAGAAGTGTATAGTGCGAGCAGCAGGAAATGTGGTGTGAGAGGTGAGAATGGGAGTGAGGAGCAGTGAGGGGTTCACACGGGGCTTGGCCATCCATGCCGCTTGCGCTCCCTGCCCCATGCATGCCATGCCATGCCATGCCGTACCATCCCCCTTGCCCGCGCAGGTGAACGTGGGCGGGCTGGAGAACATGCTACAGGCGCTGCGAGAGACGGCGTCGCTGCGGCGCCTCGTGTACGTGTCGTCCTTCTTCGCACTCGGGCCCACCGATGGTGCCATCGGCGACTCCTCTCAGGTGCTCCTCTCAGGTGCTCCTCTCAGGTGCTCCTCTCAGGTGCTCCTCTCAGGTGCTCCTCTCAGGTGCTCCTCTCAGGTGCTCCTCTCAGGTGCTCCTCTCAGGTGCTCCTCTCAGGTGCTCCTCTCAGGTGCTCCTCTCAGGTGCTCCTCTCAGGTGCTCCTCTCAGGTGCTCCTCTCCGGTGCTCCTCTCAGGTGCTCCTCTCAGGTGCTCCTCTCAGGTGCTCCTCTCAGGTGCTCCTCTCCGGTGCTCCTCTCAGGTGCTCCTCTCCGGTGCTCCTCTCAGGTGCTCCTCTCAGGTGCTCCTCTCCGGTGCTCCTCTCAGGTGCTCCTCTCAGGTGCTCCTCTCCGGTGCTCCTCTCAGGTGCTCCTCTCAGGTGCTCCTCTCAGGTGCTCCTCTCAGGTGCTCCTCTCAGGTGCTCCTCTCCGGTGCTCCTCTCAGGTGCTCCTCTCAGGTGCTCCTCTCAGGTGCTCCTCTCAGGTGCTCCTCTCAGGTGCTCCTCTCAGGTGCTCCTCTCAGGTGCTCCTCTCAGGTGCTCCTCTCAGGTGCTCCTCTCCGGTGCTCCTCTCAGGTGCTCCTCTCAGGTGCTCCTCTCAGGTGCTCCTCTCCGGTGCTCCTCTCAGGTGCTCCTCTCAGGTGCTCCTCTCCGGTGCTCCTCTCAGGTGCTCCTCTCAGGTGCTCCTCTCCGGTGCTCCTCTCAGGTGCTCCTCTCAGGTGCTCCTCTCCGGTGCTCCTCTCAGGTGCTCCTCTCAAGTACTTCCACGTGATCCATGCATTAGACACTGCCATACCTCCGCATCTGCATGCAAACGCTCCGTGCCCTGTGTCCCCATGCTCTGTGTCTATGCCCCCATCCCATGCCATGTGGCCCCCATGCCGTGTGGGCCCCATGCCGTGTGGCCCCCATGCCGTGTGGGCCCCATGCCGTGTGGGCCCCATGCCGTGTGGGCCCCATGCCGTGTGGGCCCCATGCCGTGTGGGCCCCATGCCGTGTGGGCCCCATGCCGTGTGGGCCCCATGCCGTGTGGGCCCCATGCCCCATGGTCGCCACTCCGCCCCTCTCAGGAGCACCCCGGCGGGGGCTTCTGCACGGAGTACGAGCGCACCAAGTGGGTGGCGGACAAGGTGGCGAGGCGGGCGGTGGAGAGCGAGGGGCTGGACGTGGTGCTCGTGTACCCGTGCGTCATCTACGGGCCCGGCCGCATCAGCGCCTCTAACCTCGTCGTCAAGATGGTACGTGCCTCATCCCCCGCAGCCTCCTGGTCAGGATGGTGAGGGGCATGGCAGCAGGATGGCATGGCTGGACGTGGTGCTCGTGTACCCGCGTGTCATCTACGGGCCCGGCCGCATCAGCGCCTCCAACCTCGTTGTCAAGATGGTACGGGGCACCTACCATGGGAGAGGCTATGTTGCTTGCCGGTTATGGTAACACGCGTGCACTCTCCCCGCCCGCCCTACCCCTGCCCCTCCCCACTCCACCATCCTTCTTGTCCGACCCCGCCTTTCCTTTTCCTCCATCGCTCATGCGTCTCCGCCTTTCCTTTTCCTCCATCGCCCATGCGTCTCCGCCTTTCCTTTTCCTCCATCGCTCATGCATCTCCGCCTTTCCTTTTCCTCCATCGCTCATGCGTCTCCGCCTTTCCTTTTCCTCCATCGCTCATGCGTCTCCGCCTTTCCTTTTCCTCCATCGCTCATGCATCTCCGCCTTTCCTTTTCCTCCATCGCTCATGCGTCTCCGCCCAATAGGTCGTCTCCCGCCCTCTTTCCTGCCCCCCTGTCCTCCTCCGTCCCCTTCTCAACCCTATGCCACACCTTTTCCCCGCCAATTTCGCACTTGTGTCCCCCATGCCATCCCATGCAATGCCATGCCATGGAACGCCATGCCATGCCATCCCGTCCCGCGCCACGCCATCAGATCGCGGACCACTTCCAGGGCCGACTACCGGGGCTGTTGGGCAGCGGCACGCGCCTCAACAACTTTGTCCACGTCAACGACGTGGTTCTCGGGCTGCTCGCCGCCCACCACCGCGGCACGCCCGGGCGGCGCTACATCCTGGGCGGCGAGAACGCGTCCATGGTGCAGCTGTTCCAGGCCGTGCAACGCGCCACAGGGAAGCCCCCCCCGCGGCTGCGCCTGCCGCTGTGGCTGGTGGCGGTGCTGGGGTGGGTGTCGGTGCTGGTGGCGAAATGGGCGGGCCCATACCCATCTTCACTCACCAGGTGCGTCATCTCTCCACACTCTCCTTGGGGTGGGTGTCTGGGTGGTTGCGGGGTGGGTGTCTGGGTGGTTGCGGGGGAATCTCAGGTGCTCCTTACACTGCTGTTCCAAGCTGCTGCTGATCCCCATGGCCCTGCCACCACACCCTCCCCTCCCCCTTCCTCCCCATCCTGTCAGCACGCCCGTTCCCGTTCAATCGTGCCTGGGCCCACACCTGCCAGCATTCTAGTGTTTCGCTTCATGCTTGCCCCATGCCTGCTTCTCCCCATCCATCTCATCTCGCTATCTTCCTGTCTCTCCTCCCCCCTCTGTTACTCTCCCCCTTTCTTTCTTCCTCCCACTCAATTTGCCCCTGACCTCTCCACTCCCTTCTCTTGCCCTCACCATCCCTCCCCCCAGCTGCCAGTCAGTGCGCACATTCAACCACGACTGGGCCAACAGGAGCGAGCAGTCGAGCCCTCCATGCCTGTGAACCCGCTCGTCCCCCTTTCTTCCCCCCTCCCTCCCCCCAACTGTCAGTCAGTGCGCGCATTCAACCACGAGTGGGCGTACAGCAGCGAGCAGGCACAGCAGGACCTCGAGTACTCGCCGCTCTCGCTGGAGGAGGGGCTCCGAGACACGCTCACGTGGATGCGCGCCGTGGGGGCCATCAAGTAGCAGGGGAGGGGGGGTGGGCAGGGCCCTGCGCATGCGTGCGAGGTGCGAATGTGGCATGGGCCGTGCAGGCAGACCGCTCCTCCAGTACTCGCAGCGCAGCGCTCACTGGACCAGGGGCTTCAAGACATGCTTGTGTGGATGTGTGGCGTGGGGGCCATCAAGTATTAGAGGAGGTGGGGGCAGCATTCAAGCACGCGTGGGAGTAGAGCAGGCAGCAGGCGTGGCAGGTGGTTGCTGGGGCACAGGTATCCAACCGCAGCAGGTGCTGTCACTGAAGGGCCGGCGACTTCTACGCATGCTCTCATGAATGTGTGTGGTGGGTGGGTGCCATGAAGCTGTAGGGGCATGCATGCAGGTGCTGCAGATGCACCACCGCCGTGTGAGTCATCCGCCGATTCTGACTAGACATATGACTCTATGTACTATACATATTGTACATCTGTGTTTGGATGTGAAGCAACTCGCTACAACCTGCAACGGCAAGCATATCACCACTTTACACCCCTGGGAACCCTTAAGCTCTCAGGCTGCGCCCTTCAAACCCGTTTAAGCTTCTATGCTCCACTCGATACCCCTCAGAACCCCTCGAACCCCTTAGGAACTCCTCTGAACCCCTTGGCAATGACATATATTTCGCGGGAGGAGGCCCGGGTGGCCTTGGGGCGAAGGCGCGTCACTGATGAGAAGAGCTGCCTGCACGCTGCCACGTAGGCTGGGGGGAAGTCAAGGGGTAGGGGGGTGTGAGGGGGATGTTTGCAAGCCAAGGGTGGTTGATCGGGACACAAGGCAAGGTGGCTGGGGACCGTTGCGGGGAGAGAGGGAAGGAGAGAGGAAGGAGGGGCAGGAAGAGAGCATGTGGAAACAGGGTGCATGGCATGAGAAAGCAGCAAGCATTGCAAGTCGCTCCTTGGTGTACCCTCACCCTTCACCTCCTCACATAGGGTGTTGCCACTCTCCCTCCCACCAATACCTGCGGTATCCCCATGCTGCCCACTACTGCCCACCACCGCCCACCACTGCCCACCACTGCACTGCCCACCACCGCCCACCACTGCCCACCACCGCCCACCACTGCCCACCACTGCCCACCACTGCCCACCACTGCCCACCACTGCCCACCACGGTACCTGGAGTGTCGTCACCCTCCAGCAGCTTCACCACCATGTGTCCCCCCACTGCCAGCACACCCCCCTGCGCTGCTGCCCCTCCCTCCCCACACCCCTCTGCTTCCCGTCCCCCCACTTGTTGATCCCCTTGCACGCGGGCACCTGGTCCCTCCGCCCACCCCGCTGCTGCTACTGAGGCCGTCCCTGCTGCTGCCCTCTCTGCTCCTGCTGCCTCTCCTGCCCCTCGTGCTGCATCCCCTGCAGGCTCCCTTGCACCTGTGCCTCTGGTCCCAACCACTCCTTTGTCGGGATAGGCTGGGTCTGGGTGTGAGCAGTCGAGGCCCCATGGGAGTGCGCGTGCATCCGGTTTCAAGTGTATGTGGTGCGGTTGGGTGCTGTGCGGTTCCGAGTGCGTGTGGAGGGGTTGGGCTGCAAGGGCGAGGGCACGGAGCGCAAGGGAGTGGGAGGCGGCGACGTCAGAGGGGGAGGCGCCCGAGGTGGATGGGCACATGTCCGATAGCAGCGTGGTGAAGCGCGGTGAGGGGGAGGACGGGTGGGACTGGAGGGGGGGGAAGGGGAAGGAATGGGAGGAAAGGGGAGGGGGAAAACGGGAGGAGGGGAAGGGGAAGGAATGGGAGGAAAGGGGAGGGGGGAAACGGGAGGAGGGGAAGGGGAAGGAATGGGAGGAAAGGGGAGGGGGAAAACGGGAGGAGGGGAAGGGGAAGGAATGGGAGGAAAGGGGAGGGGGAAAACGGGAGGAGGGGAAGGGGAAGGAATGGGAGGAAAGGGGAGGGGGAAAACGGGAGGAGGGGAAGGGGAAGGAATGGGAGGAAAGGGGAGGGGGAAAACGGGAGGAGGGGAAGGGGAGGGGGGAAACGGGAACGATAAGAAGCAGTTGAAGCCATGTAAGAGAGGCGGCAAAGGTGGATGGACACATGTGGAAGAGGAGCGCGGTGGAGCACGGCGAGGGGGATGAGGAGCGCGGTGAAGCACGGCGAGGGGGATGAGGAGCGCGGTGAAGCACGGCGAGGGGGATGAGGAGTGCGGTGAAGCACGGCGAGGGGGATGAGGAGCGCGGTGAAGCACGGCGAGGGGGATGAGGAGCCGGGATGGAGCCGGGGAAAGGTATGGCAGGGAAGGGATTACTTAGGGACGGACGGAGGGAGAGGGGAGGGAGGGAGGGACACACGTCTGAGAGCAGCGGTGGGGGAGGGCGAGTGGGGCTGGAGTGGGGGAGGGATGGGGAGACATGAGCAGAGAGGGACGGAAGGCATCAGAAGAGTTGACACGAGAGAAGGAAGCGGTGGAGATGGATGGCACGTGGGTGCAGAGGGAGGGTGATGGGTGAGTGGGGCCGGAGGGGGAAGTGGAACGAATGTGTAAGGGAGGGAGAAGCAATTGATTGGATTGGCAGGAGGAGGTGTGGGCGGGAGGCAACAACGAAAATGAAGGTGAGGCGCAGTAAAGCGAGCCAGCCAAAAGCAAGATAGTGTTTGGCGGGGCGGGGAAGGCAGGCAAGTGAAGCAGTCGGGTGGAAAGGAGAGAAAACGGGATGTAGCAGCAAGGAGCGAGGGGACATGCCTGGAGGGAGGAGAGGAGGCGGAGCAGGAAGAGGGGCGAGAGCGTGAAGGCATCTGATTGAATGACCTGCACCCGCCCATCACACCACCGCTGCGGCACTGCTGTGCGCTGATGGGAGGGGAAAGGGTAGTAAGGGTGGTTTGGAAGAGACGAGGTAGGTGTGTTCAGACGAGTGTGAAATAAGGGGGGTATTGTAGGTGAGGAAGGAGAGAGAGAATATAGAAGAGCAGGGATTGTGAGTGTAGGTATGCACCTGAATGTCGACACCCACCACACACCCGCCTTGAGCTATGGGCCCCAGGGCCTGGCATGCCACCTGTGATGTGATGCACGGCAGACATGGCAGCACACGGACGCACGAAGGCATGGTTGCGAGCAGGTTCACGTCATGATTTGAGACGATTTGGGATCTGAGACATGCGAATGATGTGGTACCGCTGCTGATACCCTCTGCTGTTATGCCAGGCTCGCATGACTCGCATGCAACACCAGAGGTAGCAGCATGCGGCACATGCCACCCAAGGCAGCACACACCACGATTTGAACGACGTAAGAGGTGGCTATTCACCCATGCATGCCTCCTCTCTTGCATTGATGCTGAGACCATCACCGGCCCCATCACCGGCCCCATCACCTGCACCCATGTCCCATTGCCATCACCCCAGGAAAAGCACATGTCGACATCAATATCATAAGCATCACCATGGCCATCACCTGTAGCTATCACCATCACCATCCCTACCACCTGCCTCCTGCCATGCCTCATCACCACGCATCACCACGCATGAGCATCCCTACCAGCACATGCCTGCAGCCATGCCCCCGGGCAACACCCCAGGTCCAGCACCGCGCCTCCCCTCTTAATCACCGCGTGCCGCCGCTGCACCTCCTGCAGCTGGTAGGGTGGAAGGAAAGGAGAAGCAGGGTGGGGAGGGGGAGAAAGAAAAGGGAGGAGTTGTGTGCGTGGCTCACTCGCTGCACCTCCTGCAGCTGGGGGAGAGGCAAGAGGGGGAGGGGAGGGAGAGGAGGGGAGAGGCAGTTGGGTAGAAAAGGAAACGGGTGTGTGTGCGTTTGACTGGTCCGCTGCACCTCCTGCAGCTGGCGGAGAGGCAAGAGGGGGAGGAGGAGAGTAAGGGCGGGGGGGGGGAGAGAAGGAGGGTGGAGCGAGTGTGGGGGAGAAAGGGGGGAAGGTGTGTGTGATTAGCTGATTTGCTGCACCTCCTGCAGCTAGGGGACGAAAGGGAATGGCGGAGACATGGGGGAGAAAGGGTTGCGGAATGCGAGTTAGCTGCAGCAATCATAGGCGCAGCACCTCCTGCGCCTCCACTGGCGGAAGGACGTGTGCGAAAGGCCGGGGGGAGCGGATGGCGCAGGAGGGGCAGCGGACGCGGAAGGCGCGGCAGAGACAGAGAAAAAGGGTTTAGGGTGTACGGGCAGGGGGGTTGACGAGGGGGGGATGGCGGGGGAGGCGGAGGCGACGCAGCATGAATGCGTGGCGCCGTGCGGCCGACTGAACTTCAGTCGAGCAAAGAGCCGAACTGCGGTGCGGTTCAGCGCGGTTCGGTTCGTTGCGAACCGAACTTCAGCCTTGTTTGCTTCATGGGCCGAACCGGTTTGTCTTCCAACCGGTTCGACGATTCGACCGGTTCGGTTATCTGTTTCCATGTAGGGGCAAAGAGGGGCGGGGAGGGGCGACGAGGGGCGAGAAGGGGCCAGAAAGGTCGGTTCGGTTCGGTTCGGTTATTCTACTATAATACCGAACCTCGAACCGGCCTGAGATCAGGACGGTTCGACAAGAACCGGTTCGGTTCGTTAACGAACCCGTTCGGTGAATGCGCTAATGTACCCGAACCGGTTAGGTTCGGTAATTTCCTCATGCCTCACTCCGAACCAGCCAACCAAACCAAGTCAGGGCTCCGCTGTGCTCGGTGCGCTGGCAGAACACAGCCCGCTAAACCTCGCACGCCCTGGTTTGAGACGGTTCGGCGTGGATGTCAAAGGTTCATACGCGCTCAAACAGTAAAACACGGGCTAATGCGGGATCGCTTCCGCGTGCTCGCGGAAGCGATCTGCCCGCGGGCAAGAAAAAAAACTAAAACCCACTCGGAAGGCATGCTGTTCGGGAGGCATCAACCCTAAAATTCTAAGGGTTGAGGCTCCCGAATGGCATGCAGGTCGCGATGGGGAATTGTTTTTTTGCCCCGGGCAGACAGCTTCCGCCAGCTCGCGCGTCCTGGTGGGTTCGAAACCCACCAGGAGAGGCACCTGGTGGATTCGAACCCACCAGGGCTCGGATGGACTCCAATGTCCCTCCCGAACGAAACCACCACCACACGAAGCAACTACAAATGGCACGCTACGTCCACCGTTGCTTCAAGCGTGGTTCGCACGCGGCAGGTAATTCTACGCTATTTGTGGACGCGGCTGAAGAGTCGACGGTAGACGCAGCGCTCTCTGACGCGGCGCCGCGCACGAGGCGCGCTAGAGCGCACCTTGAACGCGGAGCGAGCCACGTAGCCGAGACGGCGAGCCTCCTTGAAAAAGAAGTCCTGCGGCGTGAAGCGCGCCATGGCCGCTTCGCATGCCGCCGGGAAACGCGGCGTCGAGTGAATGTAAGCGGAGGTAGTACGCTCAGCGAAGCTTTTGCAGGTAAAACAGATGGTCACTCTGCCACCGAATGAATTCGCGGAGTGGGAGAACTGTAGTTACTGAAAGACCTTTGTTTGGCGAAGTGTTCGCGATAATGAGCGCACTGCTTGACGCAAAAGAACATTCCTTCTGAACGAGAACAAGCAAAGCAAAATAATTGAATCACACTGAAGAACAATAGCAATACAAACAAATGTAAAGGCGATTGGCAAAAAGAGACGTATGTAGAAATCTATGTAGAACATTCAACACAACGAGCGGTTATGCTGATGCTTGCTTGCAGCTCGCCCAAAACAAATCCTGTCCGGATGAAAAAGCACCAGCGTTCCTTGACGTTATACCAAACGAAGCTGTTACAATGGAGCCTTCATGACGGTAAGCGTCTGCACGTGCTCCAGAAAAATGCTCCATGGCCCGTCGCCGACGAGCAGCGTGTCTCCGTCGGCATCGGTGTAGGTGAGCTGCCAGGGACACGTCACACCCTCTGCGGGCTGCTGCAAAGGCAGCTGCAGCATGGCTGCACACGTGGCGTACAGCGATTGGAAGCTGCCGATGCCACTCAGATCCACCGTGCGCCCCACTGGACTGCCCTCCACCCGCAGCTGAGAGGAGCAAGGAGAGTGGAGAGTAAGAGCACAAGGTGAGGAGTGAGGGGTTGCCATACGTCCATGCATCCACGCATCCACATAACCATGCAACCATGCTTCCCCTCGCCTCCATACACTTCAAACTCGCATCGCCTCACCTTAATCCGCCGTCTGTTGGCCGCCCAGGATGGCGAGGGAGACAGCTTGCAGGGCGACGCGGGCTGCTTGGATGGAGAAGCCGTCTGCCCATCCATGCTCTCCGCCCCCCTTGCTGCCTGCCGCTCGCCACTCGCCGCCTGCTCCATTCCAGCGCGCTCCACGTCCCCGTTGCTGCTTCTGGGGGTGCCGCCACTGGCAGAGCTGGGCGAGGACGGCAGCGTGAAGAGACAGCCAGGAGGACCACCCACCGCACCACTCACTTCAGCACCACCACCAGCACCAGCAGCAAGAGCAGCAGCCTCATCGGACGGGCCTTGGGGGTGCATGGCAAGGTCGCTGTCAAGCGTGTCCGTCCTCTCCGGCCGTTGGGCGTGCAGCAGGCGGGCGACATCCGACTCCGAGTGGCACGCGTGGCGCAGCACAGGCATGTCCAGGCCTGTGGTGCGGCGGCGCTTGAGGCTCGGGGAGGAGTGGTCGGAGGGGGGCGAAGCGGTCAAGGCGGAGAGGCCGAGAGAGAGCGTGAGATGCACCGCTCCTCCCTCCTCCTGCTGCTCCCTCTTCACCCCGCTCTGCCGCGCGCTGGCAGGAGCATAGGCTGTGAAGCCCCCGGGAGCAGTGAGGGTACGAGGGAAGGCCGGACGAGGCGCGGACGGAGATGCATGGCTGGCACCGGCTGTAGCAGCGGTGGCGGGGGTGGCGGTTGCAACCGACTCGCGAGACCCGCTGTACTCCATGGCTGGCTGGGCTTGTGACCAAACCATTGCATCAGGCTCGGAGTGGCCAGGTTCAGAAGGCATGGGCCGCAGAGGGAGGGAGTGGTTAGGGAGGAAGGAGGTGAGGGGGGTGTGAGAGAGAGGGGCGGTGGAGGAGAGATGCAGAGGGGTGGGGCCCCAGCTGCCCCCATCTCCATGCTGTCCCGCTGTGAGGAGGGAGGCAGGGGCGGCAGCAGGGGGGGCAGCAGCAGCAGCAGCAGGGATGGAGAGAGGTGGTGGCAGGGAGAGCCGGGGGGGGCGCGGGACCGAGTGCGACAGCAGAGCAGCGCCGGCAGAAACGGTGGCGATAGGGGGGACAGAGGCGAAGGTGGTGGTGTGGGGGGCAGAGTCAGAGGAGACGTAGAAGGAGGAGCAGGACTGGGCGAGGGCGCGCGCGTCGTCAAGCAGCCAGGGGGAGAGACGCGTGGGCTTCACTGCCCCGTCCGTGTCGCCCCACTTGATCTGCACCGAGCGCCAGGGCGAGGAGGGCCACGTGGCAGAGGGCGAGTGGTGCAGCGAGAGCACGGTGCCACGTAGGCGGCGCGTGGCGAGGTCGTCGGTCTCGAGCGTGAGGCGCACCTCGCTGCCCGGCTGTAGCGCCGCCTTCACGTGCAGCCCGCGTGTGAAGTCGGGGAGCGGGATGACGAAGGGCGTTGACGCGCTCACCCTGCCATGGCGGGAGCGGGGGCGTGGAAAAGGGAGAAGTTAGGAGGAACGAGGTGAGGGAAGCTGAGTCACAAACTGTTGCGAACTGACTCACCACAGCCACAAGCTGACTCAGCATGACACAAGCCGGCCAGCACAGTCACACACTGACTCACCATGGGTGGAAGGTGACAGAGAAGGCCGTGCGGCGGCTGTAGCAGCGAGCAGCGGTGGCCAGCACAGCATCAGCAGACGCCACCTCCGCCAGGCCTGGGGAGGCTGCGGAGGGCGCCATGGCGGCGGGGTCGCCCACGTGGTGAACGTCAAGGGAACACCGTTGAGCGTGGCGCGCCTGGCGCTGCGCCTGCAGGGCCGCCATGGCTGCCTCGCTGCGCCGCACCGCCACCTTGAGCGCGCCGTGCCGGTTCCTGTGGGTTTGAGAGAGCGGAGGGGGAAAGATCGAACGAGGAGCGAGGTGAGCTGGGTGAAGAATGCACTGCGCTGTGCTGTGACGCCTGGGAGGCGAATCACCTGAAGAAACAGCTGAATACACCTGAAGGAACACCTGAGCGCACCTGAGGAAGACGATGCGGTCGCCAGCAGCGAGGCCCCAGGTGGCGGAGAGCGCGCTCCAGCCGGTGGTGAGCAGGTGGCGCTTGGGCGTGCCGCGGTACACGTGGCGGAAGAGCCACTGGTTGCCCAGCACGTCCGTCGCCGTGATGCGCTGCGATGGCACCGACTGCGTCATGTCCTGCACCGCACCGCACCAAGCACCAACGCATACACAGAGAGGAGGAGAGAATTGAGCGCGAGGCGACCAGGAGAGTGCACGGAGAGGAGCGGAATCATGAGCGCACGACTGTCAATTTAGACAGCGGAAGGCAGCCCTCACACGGGGGACCGAAGCTTGGGGGAGAATAACTCTGGGCGGCATACCAGGTGGGGGAGGCAGGCCTCGGCGGCCTTGCGCGGGATGGAGAAGCCGCCGTGCGTGGACGTGTCGCTGGTTGACAGCCGCTTGCAGCACACGCGGTCCTGCTCCGTGCGCGCGTACAGCACGCGGCTTCCGCTCGCCGCCGCGCCTGCGCGCGCTGCCCGCGCCTGCTCCTCCGCCGCCTCCGCCTGGCAATTGGACGGAAATCGTAGAGGAGAAAACGGCGGAAAGCGGAAGGAGGGAGTGATTACTCGGTAATTGACGAAACAGAACAGCAATTGGAGACGAATTGAACAAGGAACACGAGAATTGAGAATTATCAACGGTGAAGATGGATGTGGGGAAGAGTCGACGACCGGGCGTACCTCCTGGATAGGCTGTAGCTGCATGGTGGCCAGCAGCTCGTGCGTCTCGACGTCAATCTGTAGCACCACGGACTCCAGCCGGCAGAACATGTGGCTCGGAGGCAGCGCGGCTGTAGCAGCGTCGCTGCCTTCGTCGTGAGAGCTGCCGCGAGCGCCGGCGCAGTCGCCGCTAGAGGCGGAGCCGCCGTCTCGCATTGCTCCCGCGGCGGCTGCGGAAGGCGTATTGTGCGGCGCTGCATGTTGCGGATCCCATTGCCGCTGCGCTTCGTCGGACGCGGTGCAAGCAGTGTTTCTGGTCTGCAAAGCATGAGCAGATCGATAGGTTGGGCTGTAAAATCGGTACAATCTAGTCGCCTCCAGCAAAAACACATGTAAAAACAAAACGAGGAAATCTAGAACGGCATTGGCCTGTACCTGAAAAAGAACGTGTGAATTCCGTCTGACGAGTGAAGTTTGAGAAGAATATCGAGTTTCTTACCTCGGCCAGTAATTGCTGTTGCTCCACGTGTCCTTCTGGAAAGTACACCACGACAGATGCGACGGCTGGGAGTGTAACGAGCGGTCCGGCGCACGCATGCCACAGCTCCACGTCGTCAATTGCCCGAACAGTTCCTCCCTGATTCTGCACCGTCATTTGCGACGCAATTGACGGACTGGTTGCGAAATTTGGCGCTGTTTCGTCCCCTGAAGCTCCGTGTTGAGAGGAAAATGCTGGCACGCGAAGAGTTTCGGCGTCGTGTCGCGACGACGAGTCGCTGGATCCATGGCTGCCGCTGTTCAGCGTAAGAGGCGGCGTCAAACTCGCGGAAGGAGCTTTTAACAATTGAATAGAGTCGCCGGACGTTTGGCAATGGCTTAAACCGATGGGCTTCCAGAACGAGCCGAGGCGCTGAGGAGGAGAAACGCTGGAGGCAAATCCAGCGCCATTTCTGGTGCTGGTGACACATTGCGGAACAAACGGTGCAGCGGAATCACTGAATGTGACCGCGGTAGTAGACATGACGAACAGAGAGTGGTAGTACGACGCGATGCGAGTGAATGATCCGAAGAGAACGAATGAAACGAGAGAGCGTACGATGTGAGGGGACTGTGTAATGCGAAGTAAGAGAATAAGAGCGTATGAGTAGAAACGTCAACTGAAGTTACAGCTGGCTGAGCAACCAAAAATAGCTGTGGTGTGGTGGATGGGAGGGCGGAGAGACAGAGCAGTAGGGTGAGGGGAAGTGTGTAGGCTGGGGGGGGGGGGGCTGCAGGAGGTAGCGCAGGGGCAGATAAATTGGCGGAGACAAAGAAAGGCAATCCGCCGGGATACTGTTGCTTGTGTTGTTTGTGTTGACCTGACTAACGGTCTGCCCATTGAAAAACAATTCAGTTCAGTTCAAACCAATCCTTGTTTGAACTGAACTGAATTGTTCACCTATCCTTGTCTGGCCGTCCTATGGTTGAATGCCTCAAACCATCCCAGTGTAGCAAGGGGAGTGTGATCCTGTTTGTTTGATGTGACTTGTGAGTTTACATATTGCCCTCTAGGGCAGATACATAACCAAGACAACGGAACCTGATACACCCACTATAGAGTTGAGTTGAGACGGGGTTCACTTCCACGGCCCAACTGCCAAGCGTCGGAACGAAAGAACAAGGTTCATTTCTGTATGACTCCCGCCCGACCGAGCCGACGAGCTGAATCGCACCCCCAATTCATATGGGTCTGTCCTTCACGTGCCTGGTTGGGGTTTGGTTGGATGGACGACGACGAACTGATCACTTCGGCATGACAAAGCCGCACGGGTGGCTTCTGTCCTTTCAATTCGCCAATACAGTAGAATACATTACAGAACTGTACGAACTGAGCCTGAAATTCTACATACTCACCCCTCCGGAGCTTGTGCAAAAGTGGTCCGAAATCTCCAAAAACTGCTTTTCAGTGGTGCTCACAGTGGGTCCAGGCTTGTCGTGGAGACCAGAACAAGGCGAACAAAAATTGGCCGGGGAGTGCTGTGCGTCCCAAATTAAAGTTTCCCCTCGTGCACCGTCGTTTTCCCCCTCGCTCCGCCCAACCCCCCTCGCTACTGTACCCCTGAATCCCCCCATTTCTCCCTTCTTCACTTGGGTTTAGTTGTGGCCCACGATTGAAGTCGTTGTGGGTTTGGGCACATTGCGACTTGTGCTGTACAGTATTGCAACATGTATCACACGGTCACCCTACACCACACCACCTCTCTGTGTACATTGCATGAATCTACGGAAGCGATTCGAGAAGAACAGACGGCTGCGGCGCGCGAGAAACGGCTACAACTCAAGCCAGCTTGTCGAATCACGAGATCACGCTCAGTAGTTCCTTCACATGCTCCCGTGTAGCTGCGTTTACACCCTACAGCTACATTCGAAAGGAAGAAATACCCGGTCGTGATTATGTGTATTTGGATTGCCGCAGATAAACCTTCCCAGACTCGGTGCTGGGATTCACATGCCAAATAACTATTCACACTCGTGTTTAAATTGGAGACATCAGGCGGCATGTTTAAAGCCCGAGTCTAGAATGGTAATTTAGTCATAATATTTCATAATTACTGAACTTGAAAATCTGTTTGCGAACTGATAGGAGTGCTCAGTTCGCCTAACGAGGGTGGCGAAGGGTGATGGGTGCAGAACGAGACCCAGCGTACTGTTTCAGCATTTTCGAGTTCAAGAATCTTGAACTTTACAAAACGAGATGCACTGAGTCTGACGCGTCACAGTTCCAATGCAAGCCCCGAGAGTGTTGTGAGGGTGATTGACAAGAAATACACTAGTCTCTTTCAACACCTATGTCTGTTGTAAAGACTTCCGTTTTTGAAAAAAGTATCACTAATACCTCTGACAGTACTGTGCCGGTGATTGACTGACAGTAACGTCATATACTAAAAGGTGAGGTGATTCACTGCCGATGAAATCAGTGATTCATTGACATCAACCAAGCGTATCAGACAGTGTTGGATCATGTAAACATATGTAAATAAACTTATGTAATCCATCTCCCCCACGCATTATCAGTCTTCCGGTTCACATGCGCAAAAAGTGAGTGGTGGTGTTGCACATGCATTCTGCGAGGCACGAAGCAGGGGTGCAATTTGAGAAAACCCTGGATGCGAAACGGGGAGTAGGCATGGGCAGAGAAAAAACATACGAGTAGGTAGAGGTTTGGGATGAGAAGAGCAGGGGAGGAAGAAATAAGTGAGGCGGAGGGAGATGGGACAGAAACGTAGTAGAGGCCGGGAAGGGAGGAGAGGGGCTTTTGCTGAGGGGCAGGGTTCATCAAGGAAGAGGGGCAGAGAGGGAGCAACGGAGCAACGAGCGGGAGCGAAGGGGCCAGCAGAGAGAGAGGGGAGGAGAGGCAAAGAGTGAGGGGCTGAGAGTGAGGGAAGGAGAGGAGAAGATGGGGAAGAGAGGAAATGAGAAGAAAGGAAAAAAGGGGGGTTCAGTGAGAGAAGGGAAGGAAGGGAGGAGGTTGTGCAGGGAAGGGAAGAAGGGGGGTTCAGTGTGTGGGGATAAGGGCGAGAGGAGTGGTGGAGGGAGAGGGAGGGGAGTGTAGAAAAAATTGGGAAGGGAGGAGAAGGGAACAGAGGGCAGGGAAAATTCAGGCACACGACGGGAGGGTAGGGGCAGAGGGAGAAGGGAGGATACGAGACGAGAGGCAAGGGAAGTGAGCGGAGGGCGAGGGAAGGGAATGGGGGACTCAAGGGGGAAGTCGGGAGCGATGGGTGTGCGTGAGCGACAGGTGGAAGAGAATGAGGGGAGAGGCGGAAAAGGGATGGATGGAAGTAGGAAAGACGGGACGGAAGAGGGGGGACAGAGGGACGGGAGATTGGGTAAGGGGAGGGATTGGAGGGTTGGAACTACGAGATGGGAAGGGGGAAGCCCCGAGTAGGGAAGGGGGACCCTTGCGCGTACGGAAGGGGGGAAAATGCGTGTGCGAAAGGGGGAAAACAGCGCCATGAACGGCGGCGCGGTAGCAGGAACTCTACGCTGGTTACTGGAGCGACGCGAAGAATAGCAAAGTGCTTCGATTCCGTCATATGAAGTTCTAGATTATCTATAGCGAGAGCTTTCGTTTCCAGTCCTGTGCCCTGTTGTGAGTGATGAGGAGCCTGGTAAGACGATCCAGGTTGCGGCTTCGTCATGAGTCTATCGAGTGAGAGATGCGAATGAGGGACGGATGACGAGCGGCGGAGAGGGAAGGGAGGCACGGGAGGGAGGCGCGCTACGGCAGGAGCGAATGCGGGACGGAAGCGAGGCGCGGGACGGAAGGGACGGAGGGTGCTGGGCGACGGCAGGGACGGGGGGGACTGGAGGAAGGACTGAAGGCACGACCGGGACGGGAGTGACGGGCGCGGCGACTAGGACAGACGCGACGAGGGCGACGGGAGGAGCGGGAACGACGATAGCCACTAGAGAGACGGGACCTACGAGTGCGATTGGAGAAGCGGGTGCGGCGGGTACGACGGATTAGATGGTGTATGAGATATATGTGCACGTACCGCGAGAGATCCGATGAAATGGGCGTTACGTGGGGGACGGTGGAGACCTATACTATGCAAACTGACGGAAGTCTCATTTCAAAATCCTGGGTGCTCGGCGTAGTTATCGGTAGTGGACGATATTGTGGGCTACGGAGCCTACTATTCAACGAGTCTAGAAAGGTAGCTTCAAGCTTCAAGTTTCCGGAAGTGTGAACAGTTGCCCCGGTTTTTGTTTGTTCTGGCGAGTGTCGACAGTGGTTTTGCTGTTGTGCTTTTGGCCAATCATAATACTGCGCTTCAAACACCCCCACAGTGGATCGCGAGTGAGCCCCATAGAAAGGCGGGTTACCTTGTTCACTGGCGAAATCATGTTCAAGAATCTTGAACTTGAACACTTGTCATTCTAGAATCGGGCTTTAAATATCCTGATATCCCAGATGTGAGGACAGAACGTGTATCACAATGCACACTTCTTTCACCGCCGATGTTGAGCAATTCAGGGGAAACTGCTCCATATCCCCGATTCAATACAGCTGTAGATGTTTGGCATATCGAGCTCCAAGAAATCAAAGGAAAAATGGTTTGACCTCAGCACAGAATGATATCCCAGTCTATGTTCCTACACGTCATCCTTTGTGACATGTAAGGTAGAGTCACGATGTATATAATTCAGGTGTATATATTCTCGCACTTAAAACACCCCTGGAAAACTTTCACACTTGTCAGAGTCAGGAAGGGAGACTCTGACAACTGTTTGCTGCAGCCGGCTTTCACCACCTTGGAAAAAACAAGATTGACAACTGGGCGATTCGTCTGCAGATCTTCGATTCAGCTCTACAGCATCAAATGCACGTCGGAGCGTCATGTCCATGACTAGTGTGTGCTTGATTCCCTGGATTCTTGTGCATCTTGCAAACGATGAGAGAAAACTGGTCGGCATCCTGAGCAGCAGCAGCCCAGTGATTTTTTTTTCCCATTCCACTTTTTTTTTTTTTTTTTCCATTCCACTCTTTTGGTGGCAAATGTGTGGTGAGGCGAGGTGAGCTGAGTGTCACCTGACTTGTTTCCTTCGCACTGTGCTAAGTCTACCAACTTCGAAGCTGGAGCGACAGTGGACCAAAGTCCCACTCTAACACTGCAACCACCATCCAGGTTCATGCATTTGTCAGAGCCAAAAATACTGTACATCACAACATACAATACTGTATACAATCGAACCGTCAGCAAGCAGCATACATTTTCAACGCATACTGTACTCCGTTTGAATAAACTTCTCAGACAAAAGCGCTTCAACCACGGATGTGTTTTTGTTTTATATTCGTGGCACAAGTGGTCACTTTCGATTCGGCACTTTCGATCATTAACTGGAAAATGTCGACTCGGATTTCCACAACATCCGCGTAAAAGCGCCATCAAATAAGAGCAGAATAGCTGTCTCTGCCTCCACAGAATAAGTACAGTAACAAAATTTGCGTGTTAGTTTCTTGCACGCCCAACCACAATTTCTGGATGTCGATTTTGCACCAATCGTGGAAGAGTCTCCAAGGGCACGAAGCACAACCTCAAGTGATGTCTGCCCAGCCTTGTCCACACAATGCAGTCCAGGTATATTCAACCTCGTCGAACCAAACAAACTCGTGGTGGCCTTCTTCTCGTACAGTACACCCTCATTCTCACCTTTCTCACCGTTGGAAGCACTGGCTACAGTGTTTGGACGTAGCGGGCTGGTGCGATAACTCGGTGCGGGCAAAGTCGCACGACGCGACGAAACAAGCCTCGGGCCACCCTAAACCGTTTTCCCTGAATAACTGTCTTAACCGTTCAAAACATACCAGTACCATTCTAGAACGTATTCAAACTTGACTAAACGCCTTTGGTCAAATTGTCACTATAACGTATGTGATAGGACCTTCTTTTGGTCCGGTGCGGCTACACTAAGCGTCCCTGTCAGTATAACATATGCCAGTCTATCGAGAATGAGGGTGTACACATTATTGGTGCTGTTTTTAGGACATCTGTAAGGAATTTTCTCGCTGTTCCTTACTGCGACCGTCAACACCACGTACACATGATGCCTGATTGAGCCCCTCCCGGTTGCCTTGTGAGGGGGGCATATAAGCTGTATAGTGCATTTCGCATAAGTTTCGTCAATTCATAAAAAGGATTCGCAGGTGCTTATATAAAGGATCTGTAACCTTATCCGTTGACATTTGACTTCAGTCTCTTCAGTTTGACTTCGGTCTCTTCGTTACTATTGGTTCATAACCGTGCGACGCGCTTGTAACAGGCTGGGGAAAAAACCTCGGGTGCAGCGTTTCCATCCGGTGCATAGCAAATTTGCGTGCATGGGGTGGGCATCACCTGTACAGCAGCAACAGTTGTTCGCCCGTTACTGCAAACAAGGCTTCGCCAACTTCGCGCGCACTGTTTTCACCAAACCTCGCACTGCTGGAGCAGCCGATCGGCCTACGCTTCGGGACTAGCCCGAACCTCGCGCCAGCGTCGCACTAGCTAGCTCGCACGCACCGCGTTACCGTTTGCATGTTTCGCCTATAAGTATTCGCTCATGCCTTCGCTCATACTTTCTACTCATTGAACACCTTAGTGCAATCCTCGCTACATCGATTCATTGCACCCGTAACACTTGGTTATCAGAGCCACTTTCTTTTCGAACCGCGCACCTCCGCACCCCATGAAATCAACTTTTGTTTTTTTTTCACTCGAATGGACTCACGCCCCTTAACCCCTAGGAGCCGCTGTCCTCGCGTTCTCTCGTAAACGCGTGCAGCCACGACTGCGCCTAGACTAAGCTGAGCCGACGACCTTCGTAATCGCTGAACATATCGACGTCACGATGCGACGAATGCGGCCAGAAGTCAACCCCGCATCACGATTTCTGTGCCAACCGGCGAATCAACACTGCCGTCGCCGATGCCGCAGCGTCCGCCATGCTTTGACCCGAGTCAACGGGGTGGTCCTATCGTTCAGGCGTGGTTGTTCACGTTGAACGTGTTTTTCGATGCCAACTACGTCTCGGAGGATACGGCGGAGATTCGATACGCCGTGTCGCTGCTGCGAGGACCCGCCATGGACTGGTGGCGCGTCATCGTCACGAAGCCGATGGACTACGCGACACTACGGACACGAGAAGGACAAACCGGACCCTGGGCGCCGTCGAATTTCGTGGAGGTGCCCCAATATCGCACGTGGGACGCGTGGTGCGCAGGGCGCTCGATTTGAGCCAATTGCGGCTTCGATTGCTGCGCGTCAGAAGCTCCGCACTTGGCGCCAACTCGGTTCCGTCCAAGACTACACCAACGGGTTTCTGGCGTTGTGCGAGCAGGTGGGCTACATGCATGAATCTGAGCGTATCGACCGCTACATCGGCGGCCTGAAGCATGACATCGCTAAGGAAATCCAGCTCCGCGGCGTCACTGATTTTCAAGAGATTCTCGCCATGGCGGAGAAGCTCGACTTTTTCCGCCGACCGTGACCGGGGTCCTACGGAAGCAACAGCAACTGGGGACTGTTAGAGGTTGAGTGTGGTTGAAGGAAACGGTGGTGGGGTGGTTGTATGCCCCCAACCCACCGAATGTGTTTCGGTGCTCACCGTTTGAGTGAGCTGCAGGTTTCGCGAAGTGTGTGGGTTGACTTCGGAAGACCCGCTCGATTCGGTGCCACATGGCAGCACCAGGAACATTCGAGATTGAAGTGACATTCGGTTCGGTGAAATTTGAGTGTCGAATTTCACCCCTTCGAAATGTTACTCGAACATTCGCGAGTGTAGCGGTTCGAGGTTACTTGTGCGACTCGATATTGTTTGCATGCTATAAATCTGTTTTTTTTGTATTGCATGCGATCATACCGAAATCGAGAATCACTTTGTATGTGATACACTCGACTACAAAATCCAGAGAGCTCCTATCCTTTGTCCTAAGAGCACTAGCAAGCGCATAAACGACTATATCTCGCCCGATAGTTAGGCGATCGAGGTGATCTACGGCTCGTTAGAAAGCTAACACAGTGCTCTACTGATTAGAACAACTCCCAGTTCCTGCAAAGTAGAGGAGAGTCCTTTACAACAGAGGTATCAGAGCTGGTCGGAGGAGTCTACGCGCGCGACAAGGAGCAAGCATGCCGACTTCAAGCGAGGCCTCCCGCACTTCCTTGGATGGTGTCGTTGTAAATTCCGGCAAACCCTGGGCAACCGCGACGATTTTCGACACGTCGGCGGTACCGATTTTCACGGGACAAAACTACTCCGCGTGGTAGTTTAAGTTCCAAGTGCTCATGATGGAGCGGGGACTTTGGGGTTTCTTCGATGGAACGGAGAAGAAGCCGGACGACGAGAGCAGCATCGCGGCATGGAAGAAGAAGGAGCAAAAGGCGTTCGCTACGTTGATTTCGTGCATTGGCATCAATCTCGTAAGCTCGGTGCGCATGTGCATCAAGCTCGAAGCGTCGGCGCATGAAGCGTGGAAGCGGCTCGAGACGATTCACGTGAACAAGACTCTCCACGGCAAGATCCTAGCCCGGAATGCGTTCTACACGGTGAA